CACAACAGGAGTCAGTGCAGCACGGACTGATGATAGATCTTTGTCACTTCCTGTCTGGTAAAACGGATGTCACCGATACAGTAGGAGCTCACCCACAGTTGGGCAAACCGTTGTAGTTTTTTACATAGTTCATTTGAACAGGATGCCTATCGCAGCACTGATCACCCCGGTGGTGAATGGATCCTGGGTGAGTTGAAATCTCTCTAAAGAAGCGCCTGATAGCAGTAAAAACCCAACAGGGGTTCTAATTCACTCCCTTGTATTCTCTCGCCTCGACTACTTTGTTGGCCTACCATTAAACAGGCTATCCACCTTCAGTCTATCATGAATGCTGCTGCCAGACTCATCCACCTTACCAACCGTTCAGGGTCTGCCGCCCCTCTCTCCCGATCCCTCCACTGGCTCCCAATTGCCCAACAAATACAATTCTAAATACTAACAACATACAGCCATCTACAACACTGCCCCCAGCTACATCTCCAACCTCATCTCAAAATATCACCCCAAACCACCCTCTCCGCTCCTCTCAAGACCTCCTGCTCTCTCGTTACCTCCTCCCATGCTCGCCTCAAGGACTTCTCCAGAGTGTCTCCCATCCCCTGGAACTCCTTAACCCAATCTCTTCTATGCTGTCCACCATTAGGCGATCCTTAAAAACTCATCTATTTAGGGAATCCTATCCCACCTCAACATAACTGCCCTTTTACTTGTTCCACAAACTCAATCGAAACAATTATTACCTTTTCACTTGCCCCTCCTACTAGATTGTAAGCTCTCAGGAGCAGGGCCCTCCTAAGCATATTGTACTGAAATTGTATTGTAACTGTACGGTCTCCCCCATTTTGTAAAGTGCTGTGCAAACTGTTGGTGCTATATACATACTCTATTATAATAATAATAAAAATAATAACAGGCACATTTCCCCCCAAAATTCCCATGTATCCAGCTTCCTCTGCAGATTACAACCCGCTGTTAATAACTTTTCTTTTAAATGCTCTTTTTGCTTGTCATACCTTGTCATGCTTGTCATACCTTGTCATGCTCCTTTTGCATGACCTGACCGCAAACACTGCTTGGTAGATGACCCCTCCTCTGTCCTGCCTATGCTGCAGGACAAACCAAACAATAGAAGCGCACCCCCAACACAGATGGAACAAGCGCTGTGGCTCATTCAAACACTGCTGAAGTGCGGTGCATTCTTACCCCACCTGTGATTGAGGGAAAGAGTGCACCCGACATGCGCAGTGTTTGAATGAAGCACAAAGCCTGTTCCTTCTGTGATGGGGGCACTCTTATAGCATCCGGTGCAGTATAGGCAGGACAGGGAGGAAGGGGGTCGCCTGCCAAGGAGTTTTTGCAGTTAGGCCGTGCACAGCCTGTAGATGTGGCATGCAAAAGAAGCATTTTTTTTTTTTTTTAACCTGAACAGTGCCTGTAATCTGCTGAGGATGCTGGAATGCATAGAAGAATTTCTGGAAATGCGCCTAAAGGTGAACAAACCCTCTAATGCTTTTTTTTCTGTATACATTTCAAACATTTTAATTGTTAGTCTATCTACAAACAATATATCGGTTTTGGGTGGATGACTGCCGACTAAATCACCTACCAACTTCTCTCAGGGATTCTCACTGTGAGGTTATATATACTTTTTCTATTGTAGTGTCTCACCCTTCCTGTTATATCTTTCATTTATTTACTGCACAGAGAATGCATCAGTAGAAGTCCAACTCGTGTTTGGCTTTATAGTAGCTGTGGCAGGAGCAGAGCCAGAAACTCTGGTGGGACAATCCTGCCACTGGAGTTTCCCAAAAGCTACAAGCATCCGGTGAGTGATCCAGCCCATGAGAATGATCAGTTCCGGGAGAACTGGGAGTTTTTGATCTCTGATCATCTATACTTTGTGAGTACCGGTATTAAAAATTACCAGCAAAGTTTCTAAGCTGTTGAGTCTACTGGCAAAAAATAACACACAGCACAATTTCTGTTAAAGAGCTCATGTCAGGTCTAAATGGTGCATGCAAGTGACAGCCAAACAAGCCACAAAATGAGACCACACAGCTATGTGATAACAATAAAAACGTGGAATATATTTTTGCCTGGAACACCGTTCTAAAAGCTGAATGGGAATATGTCCTGGTTAGCCACACTTTGCTATGTTGAGAAAAACACAGTTCAATAATGATCGATAACGGCAAGAAAATCAATTCGGAAGCCGCAGATAAACACTGTAAAAATTAGTGAATGCGTCAAGAGGGAGAGGAATATTGGTTAGGAAAGCTTTTCCCTACTCTAGCACAAAAACATTCCAGATTTCACATATGCTGTACAACAAGGTCAAATGATAAAAAATCCAACTTTATCCATCATTTGCACGGCACTCTTTGTGACCAGAGTTTTTTGAAGCATAGATGTTAAAAAGCATTGGTATGTGTCAGCTACATTGACAATAACTTCATGACTAATTTTCCCGATTGGCAGCCGGTCTGAGAACTAGGAGCACACACAGTTACACATTATTAGTTCCCTGCTGCAGGTTGTTTAACATTCTCACGCCATGAGGCATTTTATATTTGGACTTACAAAGATGCATTTTAATCACCAAGGATGAGAAACCAACCAATTAGGGTAGTGCAGAGTCTGGTCTGTCTAAATCAGCGTTTCTCAACCTGTGGGTCGCGACCCCGTCGGGGGTCGAATGACGATTTGCCAGGGGTCGCCCGGGAGTCTCCCGCTATTAGATAGCGGCTCCCGGCCACCCGGGAGAGAGACACTTTCTCCCGGAAAGGTATACTCTGCGTTCGTTTTTTTTTTTTCTGACATCGGTTGCCGGGCGCCGTAAGTCAGAAAAAAAAAAAAACCATAGGAATGCATAGCTAGATTCCTATTGGCTATTTCACTTTGCAATAGCCAATAGCAAACTAGCTATTGCAAACGCCCTCTGCTGCTGCCAATCAGTAGAAGGGGACCTGAAGTTCTCCATCAGGTCCTCTTCTAGTGATTGACAGCAGCAGAGGGCAGGTGCAATAGCTAGTTTGCTATTGCAAAGTGAAATAGCCAATAGGAATCTAGCTATGCATTCCTATGGTGTTTTTTTTTTATTATTCTTACGGCGTACGCTAGTGGTTCTCAACCAGTGGGTCGCTGTGTGATTTCTGCTGTGCTAGGTGAGAGTCCTCCTCAGCTCTCTCATAGCGCATCAGTGTCAGTTCTCCCGCAACGCCGCCAGCAGCCGCGTCATCCCTACATTTTACCGTTGGGGGTCACCACAACTTGGCAAATGTTACTAAGGGGTCCCAGCCCTAGAAAGGTTGAGAACCACTGGTCTAGATGGTGATACTCCGTTATTCTGGAGAATAGTTTACATGTGTTTGTTGTTTAATCTCATGCTATTTTTTTTGCTTTAAAACGTAAATTTAAAAAAAACAAAAACAAATATCACACGAGTAATGAACCAAATTTTAAGAAATGTGTAAAGTGCGTGCGCATCCAGCCAACATATTTTTTTATTGTTTGAATAGAGTAGGAAAGGATAACAACCCCTGTCGTGTTTTACTGCTATTATCGATTAGTCGATAATCAGAATAGTTGTCAACTATTCTCATAATCTTACAGTTAGTTGGATCCCCTAGCTCTCTCCTCCATGCTGGGAGGAGGGCACAGCAAGCAGTGGGCGGGTGCAATAGCCAGCCTGCTATTAGCTATTGCAATTTGAAATGGCCAATAGCAGGGTGGCTATTGCACCAGCACACTACCTGCTGTATTTACATTTAGCTGCCCTCTGCAGAATTTTGCTACTGGCAGCGGTCATTCCCTGGCTGAAGATATTTAAGCGTCATGCGCTTACAATACAATTACAAAAAACAAAAAAGTGGAAAAAAAAGTCATTTTCTGTTTCAGCCTAACAAATTCTGCTGTGCAGTTCCATTAATATCAATGGCACCCCAAATCACAGTGTGATCACCCGCACTGGAACGCATGGTAACACAATCCTGTGCGCTTCAGTGCAGTGCGATTGCAAAACATTGTGCACGCAGTTTTATTCTAAAGTAAACTTTATGTTTGTAACACTCCATTTGTGTATTTTAATTTTAAATTAAGGATGGCATTTAAAAAAAAATTCTGATCAATCTAAAAAAAAAAAAAATCGGCCAACTAAGTGATTATGAAAATAATCATTAGTTGCAGCCCTACATTAGTAACCTATTCCCTACTGGGAGAACAGCAATATATATTTATTTCTTAAACTCCCGTTATCTGGCATCCACGGGGATTAGTTGATTCCGGACAATTGTATTTTCTGGTTGCACGAGAGTTACTATTAAAAATAGGTCTAACTAATGCCAGCCATACCCCATACTATACCATATCATGGCAAAACTCTGTATTGACTTCATATTAATATTGAAATGCAGTAATCAAAAGCAAATTAAGACAAACTAGACACATTCTCCCTACTGCTAATTTTGCCCTTGCTCCCTGACTGGTGTGACCATTGTCACAGTGACAGCAACTCAAAAGAACTCTCTCTGTAATGGTGTCCCAGATAGTAAAAACCCAGCAGGCACAGCACACCTTTCCCATGCTATGCAAAACTAATAAAATAAAATATAGAATAAGTGTGTCTGGTCATACACTTTAAGAACTATATTGATATCTCTCATGAATCTAAATGTTATCTCACAAACGACTACTTTATCTCTACCTTAAATGGTAGAGATAATAGATACCTCATAATAATTCACTGTTACCATCAAGCAATAGGTAACTGTATGTTTAGGAACAAACGCCTGTGTGATTTTTTTTTTGTTAATTGTCATTTAGATACAAAATATATGTAAAAAATTGGTACTAATTTTATAAAAGTAAAATAAAACACACCTGCATTTAGTGAACAAAAAAAGAAAAAGTTACTGAAATATTGAAAATTCAACACACGTTACACTAACGTGCATCAAAAATAATATATATTCTACAATCATTGAAAAGCTGACATGACTTACTGCTTGCCATGTGATTCGGGGAGGAATGTTGTCCATTAGGTGTGCAGGAGGTCAGGTCTATGGCCATGTTGGAGTGGTCCCTCTCGGGCACAAGCTCATTATCACCTGAGAAGTTAAAAAAGAAAAACAAACCTGTCAGAATTCATCTGCCTTTAGGGAAAGAGCCTATCGAACATAAGGAATGCAAAATGAACAAAGCCTAACAGAGCTTCCTGCAGTTTTAAGGAAAGTCAATAAGACGAGCTAAAATATATTACTTTTTTTTTATTATCAATCCCAAATGAATAATTGTACTAAATAGGCAGCTGTCCCTCACTTCAAGGATTAAGATTTGCCCGAGGAAGAAGTTCTGATTTTCACTACTGACCTGCAATACCATAAAATCTATATTTAGGTTTGCGTTAGGTTCATTTTTTATTGTATAGCAATAATATAGCAACTTGAAGTTCACACTAGTTGAAAAGCAGCATTTGGCACGCAAAAGAAAGCAATTTTCATTCATTTTCAATTTAATAAATGTAAACATTGACTATGGTGTGTTCCATGGTCCTTCTAGATCAGGGGTAGCCAAACTCCGGCCCTCCAACTGTGGTGAAACTACAAATCCCATGATGCATCTCTCTCCAGGAGTCATGTTTGTGGCTGTGAGAATCTTGCAATGCCTCATGGGATTAGTAGTCCCACCACAGCTGGGGGGCTGGAGTTTGACTACCCCTTTTCTAGATCCTGGTGCCAAAAGTGCGGCCTGAGGGCCACATGCAGCCCTTCGATACCTGTGTGGTCCTCGGAGTAGCCCAGCCACATGGCGTGTGAGTGAGAGCATCACCATATTCTACATCATATTTTCAGTTTCCGATCACATCAGTACATGACCACACTCTCCATTATTACCCCTAGTATGTCTACAGTGTGGCAGTCATCTCTAGCATTACATATACTTAAAGTGAAATTAAAGCTCCCCTTCCCCAATGCTGCTGTAAGCACTTCCCTTACTTGATGACTCTTGATCCGAGTATCATCTTCCTTCCACTCGTTTCCGACAGTTGCTCCAGCACTAGTGCCGGTCGCTGATCCACCGCAGACTCCTTGTGTCCCTACTATGTCTACCCTGCGTGCGTGCTCCTGGCTGCGTCAATTGAGTTTCATTTTCTCTTCTCTCCCCTTGCTCTACTGCACATGCGCTCGCACACTTCTTCCTCTCAGACGTTTGGGAGCTTCAGCTGGGAGCGAGCGGCACTGGAACAGGTAAGTAATTAGGTATTTGCCTAATTTGTTTAATCATGGGGCATGTATCTACTGCTTGCTAGCAGTAGATATATGCCAAAAAACGTAAGACTTTAATTCTATTTTAACACGGGGGTTGACTAAAGGAGTAGAACAGGTTTACTTTCAAAGTGAATTTTCACGTCTTAGTGAAGAAGGTAAAAAAAAAAAACCTGAAAATTCTCTTTCCAAAGAACCATGTGCAAACAAAAACAAACAAAAAAAAAAAAAAAACAGGATTTTTCAGAAAGGTAAATTTTCACCTAACCTCACTAAACATCCAATCATGTGAAAGGAAAAATCCAAGCAAAAATCTAAGTTTTCGAATGTTCCTTGTACGTGATTGGGTATTATTTGAAAACAGAACATTCACTTAGTTTAATATCATTCACAAATGTAAGTGAAAATTCAATTTGAAAGTTAACATACTCTACTCCTTTAATAAATCAGGGTCATTCTGTGTGGTCCTTTGCTGATCAATGGTTGCAGTTGAGGCCCCCCCATCACCACAACCTATAACTCAGAAGTTGACAACAACCTCTAGATAGGGTTTGGTTCTATATATATCAGCAAAGCGCTAATTGTTCATCTGAAATATGGTGAGCAATAGGAGTCGGTGAGTGCGGCCAGATCTTATCTTTGGGGACGATGGAGACTGGAGAGCACTGATTCACTAATTGTTTTTGCATTCACGGACGTTGGTGTTGATTATAAAAGCAGAAAGATTTATCCTCACATACAAGGACTTTATTGTATCCACAAGTAATGGACTTCACACATGGTTATGCAGATTAGGTGGGAGTTATACATCACTTGTGAGATTCAACACAGGATTTTCTATATGTACACATTTTATGACATGTACTAGCACGTGTTTTTTTTTTTTTCCATCAGCACAGGCATTGTGCAACACAGGTGTTGTGTATGACACAAAATTGTGTATCCCTTTGTGACAATTTCACAGTTTATACAATTTTTTTCACATTTTAGGAATATAATTTTTGAGTTTGAAGCGCAGTGCTATTTTCTTTTAACCTCTAGATAGAACTGTGAAAAATGGGTTTATTTCCATGAGTTAAAGGAGAACTATGGGGTTAAGGCTTTTCCCCATAGTTCTCCTTAGGGTAACAAGCAAAGTGTCCATTGAAGATTTTATGCAAGTATTAGCTATTTTCTGTTTTTATCATATTACTGGACACATTAGGTCTGGTGGGCACAGGAGTAGACAGTAGTCCTTTACTTTTTTATTTATTTTAATTTAAAGTGTATCTAAGGGCATTCTTTAATTCTACATGAAGCTGGGAAGAATTAGAACACTGGTCAGATTTTTTTCTGTGCCTCCACGGGGAGACCACTGTCTAAGAGGATTTTCCTTACTTTGCAGAAATTCCCTCCATCTTTCCTGCAGGTTGCCCATGTCTGTTATAATAAATTAATAATGCATTATGATTTGGTTTATGTAAAATGTTTTTTCACCATCATGGATAAATTCTTACAATTTCCAGTGATGCGGCACAGTGGGCAGCAACAGTTTACAATGCATGACAATAGACAACAATGTCAAGTTTATCTCCGTTTCCATGAGGATGTGGAGACGTTTTCTTGTTTTTTGGCTCTTCAACCAAGTAGTGTAGTAGCTAACAGGGCTTACTCAATACTGTGTTCTATGACACATGAATAAAGGATGAGAAGAGGACCTTAGCAGTCTTAGCTCAGAGATAAATCTCCATGATGCCTTCCAACAACAAACTCCTGAGGAATATGGTATCTGCAACAGGATCCCTCTCCTACCTATAGAATGTTTTCTCCCAGAGTCTTAACATGTTCTTTCCTGTGGATGCAATTCCCAGCTAGAAGGGCATTCCATTGCTTAGGGATTTATATGACTTCTCTCAGTTAAGAATTATTATCTGTAAGAATTTTTAAAGCAACCAGCTTAAAAACAAAAACAAGACAAGTATGCTGTTATTCTTGTGGTGATTCATCAGTAATTAAAATATCAAAAAATTCTAACTTCTAACGAAAATAATACAGCAGGTCTTTGCCAGTGAAAACCTTGCTGGACAGGAGAGTAGAAATGGTAAACGTTCAAGAACAACAGCGCAGAAAGAATACAAAGGCTGCCACTGCTGCCCTCTCTTTCTGCTAGCTGCTGTCATGCTGCTCCAAATGGCTTTGATATGATCTCCGGCATTGTTCTGGAATAAGCATGATGATCAAGAGTTCATCATTAATCCCTACTCTATTAAAAAGGAAAAAAGGCCACCCAATGTTAAATCTGATGGGCTGAATCAACAAATGTTTATCTAGAGCACCCAGTGACCAGATCTTTCCTTTAGAGTCTCTAGCTCCGACGGATGCCCCTTTCCTGCTGCAGCTGCAAAACAAAAATAAATAGAAAAGCCAACATAGAATGACAAATTTCTAAGATTGGCCATGACAGGCGGTTGAGCTGAAGGACAGGAGAATAAGCAATGTCATTCTACCTGCCAGCACCCTCTCCAAACTGAAATTTACAGGGTTATTCACAAAAGGGTGAAGAGTTTGGAGAAGGGAACAATCTAGGCCAAAATAGCTGAACTGAAAATTGAGCTGAATTGGAGATTTTTTCTAAATCGGCTATTTTGTCCTAGATTGTTCACTTCCCCCTGCCTTCTCCAGATGCTTCACCCTTTTGTGAATAACCCTGTTAATTTTTGGATTGATAAACAACTGATGCAAATAAGGTCCCTTTCACACAGGTGGACTGATCGGGTCGGAGACACATCTCCGTTTACATCCGACTCACCATAGACCGACAGGGGGTTCGGTCATTTCAGTTTTTCCTGTCATCGCAAGACGGAGGAAAAAAACTGGGCGGACACAAATGTCACAGCAGTGACATCGGATTAGTAGTGCTCCGCTCAAAACGGGATCCATGCACAGATGCCCTTCTGATCAGCACATGTGAAAGGGGCCCAAGACAACTGGAGGAAAACACAGAATTTAGGAAAAACACAGGTCGTGAGCAAAATGTGGGTTAACTGTATCTATAGCCAAAACTTTTTTTTTTTTAATGTTTTGGATAGTGTGTGGGGAAAGATTAAAACTCCTGTCATGTTTTCATCTGAGGCTTCATTTCTTCACTTCTTTTCTGGTGAAAAGCTTGTCCCCAGGACAAGATGTGAGGGAAAATCTCTCGAACATCAACACAGACAGAAGTAAAAATGTTGTAGGGTGATGCCAGAACCTCTCAGTTTTTTGTTTGTTTTTTGTATTATTATTGTCTAATTCCTTGTTCCATGTTTGCCCTCACTTCCTGTCTGGTGAAAGGTTGTCCCTAGAACACAGAGGAAATCCTGGAAACCCCAGACAGCAGTAAAACCTGACAAGAATTTCAACCTTTCCCCATTCTGTCAAAAATAAAAAAGGTTTTGGGTATAGATGTGGTTTAAGCACAAAACTGAAATGTATATGACTCGATTACTGGCATTTAACTTATTGTTCCATGTACACTTTTGTCCAGTTTGAGCTATAACAGCATAGCAGCACATCACATGACACAAGGCCGATTTCTAAAAACAGAAGCAATAAAAACTTCAGTAATCAAGCAATTTTCATCTGTAAAGTTGCTACAGATATGCTCCAACAGTCTGCCTAAACAATCAAATTGTATCTAATATATCCCAGAGAAATATGAATCATCTGCACCTAACCTGTGTCACAGATAGCTGTGCAATCAACCCCAATCAACCCATGCACATAACATGGACTTTAGGTTTAAAAGTCCCCACTAAAGTATATATACACCTATCCTTCTCGGTTTTTAAATGCACTGCAATTATAACTAGAGGACAGCTTTG